ACCCCTTAAAGGGCCCATGAAACGAATTTTCGGCTAGAATAAATCAATTTATATTGGGATTTTAGTGATAGCAGATCGTTCAGTGTGCCAAAAGCAAAAAAGGTGGAAAGTCAAAAGCCTGACTTTCGGTACGGAACTTTGAAAACACAGCGGACTATTTCGTACCTCCTTCCCTTCGTAAGCTCTCTACCTTTTCACTGTGATACATCCGCGGTCCCCGAAGCGCGTCACCGGGCCCAAACGCACGTCACACGACACCGGACCTCACTTACTCCCTTCACCCCTAAGCTGACATTGTGTTTGAAGCTACGCGCGCTTGCCAGACTAATCAGCCGGCTCTTTTCATCACCTGACCTCATTCTTCGCGCGTGGGTATGCGCGAGAGAGCGTGATCACGTGGCAAAAGTGTGGCTGGCCCAACGAGCACGTAGCTTCCACAGCACTGTCAGCTTCGGGGTGAACGGGGTGGGAAAAGCAACTTTTATCTGAATTTTGAGTGACAGGCTAATCTTCTAAAGGGACAATGGCTGTGCCCAGATACAGAAGCGAAAGTCCTAGCAAGAGGGGACTCCCCCCTTTCCGTCTTCTTGAACTGTTTGGTAGAATGCGGGATTTATGAGTTGAGGAGAAAAGCTAAACAGGAAAAAGTTAAAAAAGCATTTCATGACTCTTTAAGTGCCCCCCCCCCCCCCCCTTTTTCTTTTTTTTTTCAAAAAGTAACCTAAAAGTGGCATATTTTTTTTTATTTAGAAGTTTTATTCTTCTAGTATACAGATAAAATTTTAAAAGTTTATTACGCAAAAATCAGCGGCGGCGAAAAAACAAATGCCCCAACTAAAACGAGTGCTGCCATCTATGATCAGCGCAGCAAACTACTGGCTACCGAAAAAACCACTGGACGAGCTGAGCTCGTCCATATCATTTTTAGCCAAAAAGTGGCCAACGAGCTCAGCTCGTCCATGGCACTTAAAGGGTTAAGGGGCAGTGCAACGATTTTTGGACTTGGCCAATTAACTTCGGGAATTAATCTGTGTCACTTATGGAAGAAAAAACAGAAAATTGTGTTTGCTTGCGTGCTCTCTAGTTTTTATTTTTAAAAGATGAAACAAATTGAAGGTCAAAGTGCCTCTCAACTCCCACGTTGTCTTTCGAGTGACATATTCTGGGGGACCACCTGGTTTCCCATTGGGTTCTCTTCAGAGACCTCTGCCGCTTCCTCCATGATTGTCGACTTTTCAAGGATTAGCATCGTCGAAGGTCGCGGTGAGCGATCGACACAAAAGACTGTTCACCTTGAAGCTGATAGCGAGGGTAGCAGCGGTGGGGGATAGGTTGGCTCGACCAAGCACTGGGACGTTGAACAGTTGTCGGAGGAATAACAGGCGAATTCTCACGTCATCACACCGAAACTACCTTGCATAAAAGCGGATACCAATGTAAAGTTGAGACGAGAGAAATGTAACCCGACGCAGAAAAATCGCTGCAAGAAGCGGACAGCAGTGCACCTGGCTAATCCTGCACTCGGCGCCATCAGCATTGCCGGTGTACGAGATGGTGTTCATTCATCAAGTACGCAAAGAGCATGTGATCACCGGCGGGAAACAAGCGCGGTCCAGGATTCGCCACTCCCTCAATACAGAGGCCTGCGTCACGATACGGGGACCCAGAAAGTTGAAATATTTGAACCCTAAATACCTGGAACTGGAAAACATAAAAACGGAGCAGTGACGTCGGAACCGGAAGCGGACAGCTATATGTGTTCGGTGCACAAATGCGAAATATGTGTCGGTTTGGAATGCGCTTTAGTGTAACGTCTATTTTCAACTCTAACGACCTATAGACCATTCCAATAATTGCCTTCTGCGCTCTGCCATCTTTGTATTTCAAGCATGCACACTAGCTCTCTTGTGCGGAATATTGGCGCTGCATATATGTACACAACTCGGTGACTTGGCAGTTTTTGTTTGGCATATAAGCACTGGAAAGGTATATAGGTAGTTCTAATTGGTGGCAGTGGAGTCGAAATAGGATTTTCCATCCGCCTGCTTGCTGATGTTAGCTAGTTGGCTTAAATTAATTTATTCGGTTAGAAAAGTGAAGTGGCCAAGGCAGGTGCAGACCACAGGCGACGGAGATGCTTTTGTATGATTAGAAGGCAATTGGGTTTGTTTTTAAAAGCAGTCGAGATCTTTCGGAACCTTCAAAGCTTTGTCTAGGGTGAGCACATTATTCTTTGTCAAAAAAATATCACTGTGTTTACGCTCTGCCTGGCCACCAGTGCCATAAAAGGTGAGCTGCACAGGGTGACCGTCAAGCTACAGAAGAGCTATGTTTGCAGTGTTGATGTTTGTGTCAGAGGCTCGCAGCTCGCTGCACACTGCCTTGATTTTGCTGCATTGCAACATGTGAACGGTCTGCATTGCAGTTACAACGCCATTGGTGCGTTTAGGGGTTTGCTTTGTTGCTTTATTGAATACAAACATTGAAATATACTATGTGTGTGTATCGTGTTATTCACAGCGTTGCAATTTGCTTCGCAAAAACCTCCAATTGTAAGGACTCGTTATAGATGGCTCACTAACACAGACACACTTAGAAGATGATGCAAGCATTTTTTTATTTGCTGTTGTCCTTACCTAGAAGCGTCTGTCTTTTGGAAGTCTTTGGAGCAAACGGTCATGTTTCTTCTCATGGCATTTCCATTGAGTAAAACTTCAACCTAATCCCTGACCCCTATTGCTCGACACGGCAGTTCTGTTTTGCTTTCATGAAGGCATAGAAACTTTTATAAATCGTGCACGAGAACTTTGCATTACTGGCAGGAGCTCATGCTGTCATGTTTAGCATGGATTGAGCTCACACCCACAGGGTCCGCAATCTTCAGCAGACAATCTACAAAATGTCCCCAATGAAATTGGACGTCCCAGTCCCTTCGTGCAACGCTGTTGTACAGCAGAACAAAACAATTTTTATTTTAACGCTTTAGCTTTTTCATGAAAATTGCATGATTCACAAACACGCCGAGCAGAACCATGCGGTAACAGCAGCACCAAGCCCAACAGTACCTGTTGGTTTTTCGTTCGTTCACGAGAGGGCAAGCCCCCTCGAGGATGAACCGAAAGACAAAAAATGCTGGAGTTGCAAATATACAGTTTGACAGTTTCATCTACATCCTTTTTGTCCGTAATGACGGTGCATCCAAGGGTAAGCGTTGGCACATTCCCTTATCTAGCTTAACAAGATGTTTCTGCTCGTGTGGTGTTTGTAGGATACCCAAGGGAAACCGTTGAGACCAAGGAGGTCTCCAGGCAGGATCAAGCAGGGCCAGGCCAGGGCAGGAACCGAAAGACGACTCCAGGCAGGAAAATTGGGAGATGGGAGAGTTTCTTACAATAAACTCTGTTTAATACATATCTACAGACGTATTTACAGCGTCCAACAGCACACACTCGCAGCCGCCTGCTGCTCCTTTTAAAGGGTCACTTGACCCCACCTCCCCAGTAGGGGGTTCCTGCTGTAATGTTTGCATCTAATGGTAGCAAAGTGTTCGCTCCCCAAGTCCGAGCGCTGCCCAAGTCTCTTTCCCCTCCTTGAACACACGCCCATTTCACACTCGCAGACGTCCATGAACAGTAGTTCCTTGTCACTCTTGGGCCGCCACCGTCGTCGTTGAGTCTGGCCTGAAGAATACATGCCTTCCCAAGACAAGTGATATCCTGGCCGATCCCTCAAACATTCTTTGCTAGAAGAGGCTTAACTCAAGAACTCAGTCAGCGGGAAAAGGCCAGCTTAACCTCTTGCCTAGGTCTGTTCCATCGCCAACGCGGCGCCGGGCAATGTTGCCAGTCATTAGCGGTTTAGACTGCCAGTCACCGGCTGTCAATGGGATGACACCCCCCTCACGGGGGTAGAGAGGATTAAGGAACGAGGCCTCCACAAAGGGGGGGCGGGGCGGGCGGGGCGGGGCGGGGCGGGGCGGGGCGGGGCGGGGGCCTATCGGCAACAAAATCCTTAGTGAAGCAGAAGTACCTAAGCAGCAAGCGTCTTCATTTTCACAAGTGGTGTTGCAGTCTGGCTGCACTTTGGATTCTACAGTGCACTTAATTAGCCGAATATGTCCTTCAAGTCCGCGCTGCTGCTATTGACAGTATCACGGAAGGGGAAGATCGGTAAAAGAAAGGAAGGCTCCGTAGAGCAGAGCCTCCTCCAGCGAGAGTCCCTCCCGTTGGATTTGGGCTGTCTTATATAGTTTGCGGGAATGGATGCACCTGGGGTGGTTGGATGTAGATTGGCTCCCCGGTGGGGTGGACGCGTCCAAGTCATGATCCCGAAGGGTGTGCCTTCAGCAAATCACCCGAGAAGGGCGAAGGAAAGCTGTCCACGTGGTTCCCACATACTAAATCGGGCGCATTTCACAAGCCCTAGCTCCGCAAATATTTATCTTTGATGTTCACAAGAACTGCTTGCAATTGGTGTACTGTGTGGCAGCCATGCAAACTGTGGGCAGTGAGTACTTGAGGGAATGGGCATGATTTGCCAGCTTTATTCTTTTGATGAAGTGTAAAGTAAATGAGGAAGTATGTTTCTTTTTTGTTTTGGCGAAAATCAATATGGATTATAGTGCTTTCATCAGCAAGTCTCAATTCTATAGAATACGAGCATACTATATCTGTCTTGGTGCCGTGCCCACAATCGCATAACTTGACCCTACTTTATTTTGGCAAAAAAACTTACCCTGTTGTCCAGAGTGCTTTATTGTTGTACTAGAATGCTTACCAAACTTGAGGAATACACCAATTGTGCCTTTTTTCCGTGGGCTCCACCTGCTGAGCAGGTAGAGCCGAGGGGTCTGCAATTAAATTCAATTTATTTGTGAAACTAATCTTTCGTTCACAATAATGCTTTAGGAAATATGTAATCACATGTGATAGATTATAGCAGCATAGCTTTCTTAGGTTTTTATTCTTTGCATGGTGCGATCCCTTTGACTTCTGTTGCAGATCATGGCCCTTGGTTACAGTTCCACAGAGGCACGGCTAGGGCTCCGGTCAGCAGGGGGCAATGTTGACCTGGCCGTGCAGTACATCATATCACAGCACGAAGAGAGAGAAGCACAGCTTGGAAAGGAGGAAGCGAAGAAGAAAAGGAGGCGCCGAGAGAAACGGTTGGGAAAAACTCAGGCCGGGGAGTGGGTCAATGCTGAGCATTATGACACGCTCCGGTCGATGGGGTTCTCATCGGGTCAGGCTCGCCGCTCTCTGCAACAGGCCAACAATGACATCAACTTGGCCGTACAGGTGTGATTGCTAGGCTGTTTTATACTTCAAGTTTAGTTCATGCTATTTTACAATTCTTTACTGTTATGGTTTCATTCTGCCATATGTGGAAATATTGATATTGTTTGGCAGCATACCGTCATATCCCGAGAGATGCCCCACCCCTATTTTTGCATGATTTGCTATTCTTTCAAAAACACCGAAAGAAAGCCCACCTCTAGTAATTGCAGGGCTCTGGCTCATGGTGACCTCGGTAGAATTGGTGTTAGACGGAGGCTTATTGCGGAGGAGGCGCCGTGTAACCGAGCTTTCGGTTTATTTATTTATTTATTTATTTAAAATACCCTCAAGGCCATTGGCATTACAGAGGGGAGTGGGGGTTAGTGGCAGTAGTACACTTCGCAGCTCAATCTGAGCAGTAGAGATTATTTATGGCAGTCCTAAATAAATGGTCAGGAACAATTGTTGTGATAGATGCGGTTGCACGTCAAAAGATCCCCAGGTGGTCCAAATTAATCCTCAGTCCTCCGCTGGGACGTGCCAGATGCCCGTCGTTGGCTTGGCACGTAAAACCCCCAAATTTGACTTTTTTTTTTAGAATTGGTGTTACTCAGCCACAGCGTAAGATAAGTGAACATTGCAAACTGGGAAGGACAGTGTTCTTGCTTCATTGTCCCTCAGTGTGAAAACAAGCTTGGCAGGTCACAGAATATAAAATGAGTATTCTTAAAAGTTTCCTCGATTGCCTACCTAAAGTTAGCCCACTCCTTATTTTCACCCAATTTGCTCTCACTTTTTGGTGAGCTATCTCTCAGGATATCGCGGTAATCACTTTAAATCTTCCTTGAAAATGCCACTATGTAAACTTTATCGTGCATGGGTCAATGTGCTCTTTGCTCTTTCATAGATCATGCAAGACACGCCACTGGGCAGTACATCAAGTGGCTCGTCGGGATTTGTGCCACTGGGCCACGAGGGAGCTCAAGGAATTCCAGAATCAATGCTGGCCCAACTTCTTGCTCTTGGCTTTGACTTTGAATCGGTCAATGAAGCTCTTGCCAGGAATAATGGAGACCTGGATGCTGCAGTGAGTGAATTGATGGCTGACGATGACATGGGTAAGGCTCTATCTGGGTACAGTCTTTGCTGTGGATCGTCCATTTCTAGAGCTGAATGGTTGGGGCCTTTTATCTTAAAATTTTCATCAGTGTGCTGTGCCCCTTTTCAATGAACAGTGGGATTTGCGTTATGTATTGTAGCAGAAAAAATGCTTGATTATGAGCAAATGTTTTGGAAGGTCAAGCTAACATAAAAAAATTAACAAATATATTCTAATATTTGTGCATAGATGAAAAGACCAGAGGTCCCGATTTAGGCAGAACAGGTTCCGCTTTTGTGGCCGTGGTCCCGCTGTCTCACCAGCGTGCTTGTGGCACGGTGTTTTGTCCCGCTTTGTCTCCCCGGAACCCTGAATACATAAAAGACACTGTTAATCAAAAGGATTCATCAGCAGAAAGGGTGCTTTCTCTAATCAATGAATGAGATATGGATGGCAGGGAAGATGCAGCTGCAAGAGACCACATTTGAAGAGATTCTGATGCTAATGCTGAAGGTGCTCATGAAATGTGAATAGTACTATGGACATAGAATCTACAGAAATGAAGAAATTAATACTAAATATTCCAATCAAATTTATTAGATGATGTGTGTGCCAAACAGTATTCAAACTGCAAGGAAAAGGAATATGTATGGTATATACAAAATAAAAAAAAGAGTGGGGAGTGTTACCTAATTTTAAAGTTTTCCGAGTCTTTCAGCACAATAACCCCCCCCAATACGCGTGCCGCTTTGGGGCCTAAAGAGTATTATCACTTTATGCATGGATATTAGTTCTTAAAAATATGACATAATATTATCTGTATGCCTACAGTATGTCACATTTTAGTCATACTTTCTCTAAGAGTGAAGAATTTTCATAATGTATTCATAATAGTATCTCGCAAGTGACTATACTCCATTTCACGATAGCTTGGTGAACTGTGAAGGCTACATACAGCCCTTGCGACTGAATAGGAGCGTTGGAGCGAGGCACGTACCCTTGCGTCACGGGAGTGTTTGTGTCACTGCACCAAATGCGAGGGCCAGAGGAACCGGCTGTCATCTGCTGGCCAAGAGTCGTCTGCTGCGAAACCAACCAACTTCGGATGAACGTCTACAACCACAACATTGCCGTCCGGTAGAGTAGTGATCTCTTCTGGATCAGTCGCTCAGTTTACCCATGAATCTGTGGCGGGTGCTAGTGTCAGGACAACGTTTTGAGTGGAAGCAATCGATTACAGGACTGTGATCATTCAAACATCGTTCAAAAGCCACATTGTTCTCCGAAAATGCTTTATCCGAATTAAGTATCGGTGAGAAGTAACATGTCTTCATCTTTCTTCCGTGTTGTGTAGCGTAGTGTCGCTATACTCCGTTCACCCTTAATAAGCTAAGACTGCAGCCAATGCAACAAGCATGAGAGTTCGAGGTCGCTGTTTTGAAGCGTTCTTCCGCGGAACGAGCACTTGCACTGGAAATGCACGTCTCAAAGCCAGGAATGCAAGCTAGCTTGTGCTTGTAGCTTTGGCTGCAGTCTCAGCATAAAGAACCCCTGAAAAGAAAAAAAAAATTTTTTTTAAACAGTTTAAATGAGACGCACATGCCAAAAACTACATTTTATGCGAAAAAAAAAATAAAAAAAATTTTTTTGAGCAATATGGACTGCGCGAGGCGCAATTTAGTTGGCAGTCACCTCCTTGCCACTTGTTTTTTCTCCAGCATATCGGGGGCGTGGAGGAGAGGTGGATCAGCTTCGCCTTCACGACCGAGATGGTCATTCTGGAATGACCAGTGACGTCATGGACTGCGCGCAGAATTTCAAATAAATCTCTCGCCGTCAATATTGCTAAAAAAAATTTCTTTTTTTTCTGTAAAATTTTTTTTTGACGCACGTTTTCCAATTAGCTTGTTTAAAAAAAATTTTTTCTTTTCGGGGATTCTTTGGGTAGACAGAGTATTGACAATTGCGAGCAAAGCGACTGGCCGCTGTCATGACTCTGCTTGTGTGGACAAGTCCATGCAATTGCAAGCTTGCCAAAGCTATGTTCACGTCGAAGTTGCACGCACTTGCTCGCATGGGGCACCAGTCAATGTGCCATGCTTGCATTTGTCTATAGGGAGTAATCACTGGCGGCCATAGCTCTGTGTGCGACTGCTGAGCTCGTGCTGATGGTGAGCTTCCAGAGTTCTTTTGCAATATGCATTCCACACCATCAAGATTGCCAGTCTTAGCAGCCTATTAATGTGAGCTCGTTCTGAGCATGTGCTTTAAACAGCACCCTCAAATATGGCGTCCAGTAAATTGTTGTTAAAAGAAAAAGAAGCCTTGAACTACTTTTTGTCGCGAATGGTGCTGTTGCTCTGGGGGTAACGAGGCCTCTGTGGCCTCAACTATGGAGTGTTGTCACATGCCTTGCTGTGACGCCCTTATAGGGTCGTGGGGGCCGCAGCATCCACAGTTTGCCAAGTTACCGTGAAACGAAGTATACCAATGTGAAATGTAGTGCACATTCAGATTTTGGCTGCTTGAGACGAAAGTACTATTTTTGCTTATGGAAGATCACATAAGCTCGAAGGTACGGGTGTTGCGAGTACATTGCCAAGCCAGCACTCAACTATGATGACATTGGGGGTGCTGTTCTTTTTTCACAATGTAAATGATCTAGTAGTTAGTAGGCCTGACCGTAGATGCCATCGGGATTTAAATGGGAAGCTCTTTCACATGTATATGCCTTAAAAAAAAGAAGGGTAAAATATAAGAAATTTTGTCTCAAACAAATGGTAAATCGAGGGGCTAGATGGGAGCAAGGTGTGTGCCTTCCTTAGGGCACAATTTTGACGCAAGCACTTGAATAGTTGTATGTAACAATCAGAAGATCAATTAAGTTTAGTATGCCCGAGTGTACTTGATATCTTCAGTAGTATTGGATCTTTATTGCAGCATTTAAAATTGTACTCCCATTTTTTTCGTGATTTCAAGGGATAGGTCCCTCCTCAGTTATGTTGTCATATCAAAGCACTTGTAACTCCAGTGATCGCAAAAGGGTAGATCAAATAACAGTCTATCCGCGAGTCGCAAATTCAAACTGAGCGGTGCTAGTCACATGAGACATCCTCGTCACACAAGGAATAAAAAGAAACAGCCCTTGTGTCTCCACGGCTTTCCTTCTGCATGAGCCTCTAGGGCACTTTTTGCTTTGACAAGCTCGGACAAAAATTTAAGCTTTTCGTTTTTCACCGTTTAGGAAAAAGAATGTTGTACTTAGTTTCACCTTAAGTGCAGAAGAAGCCGCAGCTCCAAGTGCACACATGTTGCCTTGATGTTCTCATGGAGGGGTGTTCGGTGGCCATGTGCATTAGCGCACCGCAGCCCAAAGAATGTGGAACGAAAGGTCGCACTGCAGAACCCAGAGATACTGGGTTCAATTCCCACTCTGCTCGTTTCAATCTGAACGAGCGTCGTACCGGCATGCGGTCATGTCTGTCTACTGTGTGGTGCACGTTAAAAACCTCAGGCTAGCAGTGGTACTGCACTGGCTAAATTTCAAATCCACAGCAGATATATTACATGCCTAGTGGGGCTGACTAATAACTTCCCGCTGTTTAAGCCAACACACAACAGAATGAATTACAACACAAGCTCATGCGCACGGCATGTCACACGAGAAGTGTGGTGCTTTTTGCTTTTTTATCTTCTGCTTTGTCCCCACTTGCGATAAAAGGAGTTTTTCTTGGTTTTTTTTTTCGGTCTATCTCTTTGGTACCTTTTTAAACTTTTGCCTTAGTCTGCCATTTTATTAGTGAGAACACCTTTGTATTAGCAATTCTGCAAACCTTTATTATTTTCAGCAAACATTAACTCTGCTGTGTCTCATGACTATACCGGGCAAAAATGTTTTGTGTGACGGTGTTGAGGCTAGCATAGTTATCACAGTGCTGCAGCTCTGCAGCACTGTGCGAGCATGTCCTGTATCTCATATGCACCTGCTTTCGTGCAAAGGCACCACCAAACAAAGCCATGCACTCGCACAAGTACCTTTGACAGCATTGGAGCATTGTGGAAACTATGCTAGCCTGAACAGTGTCGCTCAGAAATGTTGACACCAAGTATAGAACAAAATGCGTAGAAGACTGAAAAAGTATGAAAGGCTGTGTTTTAGGGACACCTGTTTGACATTTGTTTTTGTTTGGCTTTATTTGACCCAAACGAATCTATCCTGTTAGCAATTCATCTTTAAACAAATCTGTCACTTGTCTTCTGTATGAATATAAATGTTAAAACATTTGTCATTTCAAGCAGCCAACTCTTAGTACAGAGAAGAGATTGTACATGCTGCCATTACACTAACCCCAGCAGATGTCTACTTATATTTTAAATTTACCACCTTTCAAGTTTAATTTGTTAAGGGTTGTTTGGTTGTTGGCGTTGTTGTTTTTTGCCAACATTCTGTTTGTTGCTTTAATGGAGAAAGGCTTCTTTTTTCACTTTTTATTACATATCTTTATTGCCATGTTGATATTTAACACTTGCTACATGTATAATAGCTAAAAAATCCCAATCATCTATGAGGAGAGATGTGCCAGTTGCAAGACCTGGTGGATAGAGATGCATTTGACCCTTTGTACTTGAGATACGTTTGCAAACTTGTTAAGGAAATAAACCTAAGTGCAGTGAGTGCAGCAGTAAATTAATGATAAAATAGTGTGAAATATACCCGTGAACAAGTATTCTAAAATAATTTATTTTCAATCTGGTAAATGTTCAATTTTGTGGTCATTTGCGAACAACTTTCGAGCATCACAACCAGACCCCTTCCCTTTTCTTGTCACCCTGAGATCCTTAAATCCGAATTTGTGTGCCTTCGTTTATTTTCTTGTTTTGAGCTGTATTCTTTTGTTCTCCCAACCCTCACGCCCTGCAGAGCATGGTTTCTTTCAAAATGGTGAGCGTGCTCTGTTTTGTTAACTCACTAGTGCTTCTACAAAAATAATGGGAGTCAACTATATTTTGTAGATGGCTCAGAGTACCTAGGAAAGTCTGAAGATCATAGGCCACTTAGATTTCTCAACCTGAGGACAGTTGTAGAAGGAACCACTGTACCGTTTATTAGCCTCGGTGCCAAATGCTCTACTTAAAAGTGGGTGCCATAGAGGTGCCATAGACGGGAATAAATCCTTTATGCTGATTATCTATGGAAAGTTGTGGAATATATATGCATGATATTTAGTTGGGTCTGCTTGATTGTGCTATAAAGTGGATCTCTATATTCCCATAATGTAGGAGCATGACAATTCTGTTACTTTGAATCTGGACATCTGCTTCTCCTTTTTATTTATTCATTTTATTGTGTGTATTCTAGAGGATGGAAGGGACGAAAAAGAACGTGAAGCTTTGGAGAGGCTCACGCAAGATATATCGGGTCATGAAGAGGACTTCCTGGATGCCACGCTCGAAGAAGAATTGCTCTACTTGAAGGAATATCGGACGAAATTAGTTGAGCTTGGATTTTAAACGTTGATTTCAAATAAATTGCTCGGCCTTGTGGGATTTCACAAGTCCAAATGTACCATGATGTCCAGTTTTGTTCTGATGCTCTAAACATGCTTATTTGTTCTCATACTGTTGCTGAGTATTTCTTTTTAAGTCAGTATTTACCGGCATTGCTGCTTCAAGTGTGCCAGGGCATTATTTGTTTTGCAATGAAACTCTAGGGTTTTGCTCGCATCACAAGGATCCCGTTTATATGAGTATATAATTTGTTTTCACGCACTGATGTGCACGCATACTAGACCCTACGTCATCGCCTCAGCTCAATTGTGGGGCAAGAAGCCGCGTTGAAGCGACAGTGGAAGTCGCACGCTGGCTAAGGTAAGCCACTCGTCATTACTAGGATTCCGCGTGTGGGGAGTTCATTGTTAGTGAAATCCGGAGGATATTTTTGGGGAATTTTTGTGGTACAGACTCGGCAATTATCAGTTCTCTTAAACTTCAAAAATCTGAAATTCGGCACTTATCAGGGTTAACATTGGTTTTATTTCTAATCCTCAACTATGAATTAAAAAATATATACCGCCACTCACGAGCGTATTAGGACACAAAGCCAATTTAATTGTGAACAAGATTTGCTCTAAATGCAGTCAAAGTAACGGGCATGCGTGCCCACTCCCGTTTTGAGCGCAAAATAAAGGTTTGTGTGCGCGCTCCTCTCGGAAATGCCAACAAAAATCCCCATATATATATATAATATCCACTGGATGTTTCAGCACAGTGACAAGAATTACTATAATTGGTTTATTCCAGGTAAATGCATACTTTTCTCGAGACCGCGATCAGAAAACCCGTGATATTTACCGAAATAGTTCATTAATTAATTAAAAATGACTGATTAACTGTGTAATTAGTGGAAATAAACATATGGTTCCAGTTAGAAACTTGCCGAGCGTAATCTAAATCCACTAAATCAGTCATTTTCAGAGTCTTTGAGCACGGGGGAAGAGTAGTAGTGCGCTAAACTTAGCACTCGTGGAGCAGGTACAAGGCTGGGGCTCTGATACGAGACGGAAAAATCGCGTGGGAGCTTTATCCCAACCGCTAGCCTTGTACCTGCTCCACGAATGGTAAATTTAGCGCACTACTACGCTCCTCACGCGCTCAGAGCCTTTTTGAAAATTACTGATTTAGTGGTTTTCGATGACGCTCACGACGTTTCTAATTGGAACCGTATGCCTATTTGTACTAATTAAAAATGTAATAGTCATTTCTATTTAATTAGCGAACTAAAGCAAGTATCGCGCATCTTCTGATGTCCGCCACCACGAGTAATTCGGTCCCGAGAAAATTATCGTTTTACCTCGAATACACCATGTTTAGGACTTTTTGTCAGTCTTCGCTGAAAGACCCGGTATATATATATATATATATATATATATATATATATATATATATATATATATGTATATAGTATCGTATCGAACAGTGACAGTACTTGGAAGTTTAACAATATTCGTTAGCTTCGTTGAGTGCGTTTCTTATCACGCACTGGTGCGCTGCGGATAAGCGACATTCGCAGACGACGGCGCGATTCTGCGTATCTCGCTTCGCCGCAGCGCAGACGAGTGCTTAGGGAAGAAGACTCCTCCACAGCGGGATGCTGCACTCACACTCGTCAGAAATGTGGACAAAAACAAGAGGAAAAAAAGTTAACCTGGTAAAATGCTGTTGTGACATCTTTTCCTTGTAGTACAATTTTCAAATTGGAACCGCGGCTAGTATGCAAATAAATATGGTAGACTGCGGTGCCCTTATGTATGGCGTATGTCGTTCGACGTTATACTTAGAGAAGGTCTTAAGTATAGCCGCATAGGCAATTGCGCGGGGATTGGTATTTTTATGTGAGATTTGTAACGATTAATCTTGATTAGATATAGCTGGGAGGCACTAACCTGTTCGGGAACACAGTCAATAAGGTTAATAGTAACACTAAATTAGCTTTGGCAGTGGACGAAAGGAAGCTTGGGAATAAAATCGATTGCCTAGTGGGTATCTTAATCGCCTACATGATTTTACATTTAAACTTTGTCTAAAATGCATGCTCCAAAACAAACTTCTGGCCGCTCCGAATGGGGCTCCAAAATTATTCTGTCCAGTCACATTACTGATGTTGTTATTTTTAGCTAAGCCCCTATTCAGAGGTTTTCATTAAAACAATATCCCATATCCTTTATGCAGGAGCGCTATGCCCGTAGACTGGTAGGTAGGACACCAGAACTAACAGCAATTGGAAAATACAGCTTTCTCACAGGAACATTCTTTGCTCTTGCGACCGTGTGTGTTCTTTGCCTGCGACTTGTTCGACCATTTAACTTGCTTTGTTGAAGAAAAATATTTTGTATATACCCGTTGTCACCTTAAGAAAAAAAAAAAAAAAAAGAAGCTAAAATATTAATTTGTAAAAAAAAATGTGTTTTGTTTAGATATGTTTAGATAAGGTAGCGTGTCTTAAATGCACATGCGGGTACCATAAAGGGACCATGAAATGATATTAAGAAAAATTAATTGGGGGGGGGGGGGGGCTGTAGGGGGAGGGGGCGGGGGGATGTAGCCTTGTATGTGCTTTGCGCAGAAAAGTATGGGGGGTGTTGGGCTCAACGGGGGGGGGGGGGGGGGGGGGGGGGGGGGTCTGTATAAATCATTGGGCGGAGGGCTTTAACCATTTCAAACGCCGCTCACCATTTATCGCGGAAAAGTATCTCCTTCGCAATCTTGCTTGTGAAGGAAACTTTTCCGTGCAAATTTTCTTCATAAACTTTTGTTGCCAGACAGTGTAGAATTTTGCGAAAGTTATTAAGATGACTCAATATGCAATATATTCCCGAAAGAAAAAAAAAACGAGGGTCTTAGATGTACACATTTGTGTACCGTTTGAAAGGGTTAAGGGGGTAAGAAATAGTCCTCTATATTTTAACATGTTCATACGGAAAAGCAGGCTTTTGTCTTTGTACCTTCTTTCTTTTTGCACCCTAAACGATATGC